CCTCTAGTAATATATTTACTGAGAAAAATGGTGACGTGTTCAATACTTATTTTACCCGCTGTATGTACTATTTTTAGGACCTGGTAAGATCCATGTTCTGTTATCTAATGTTTACATCACTGCACATTATTTAAAATGATCAATACATGGCTCTGCTACATGGAAAATGTGGGGACATTTTCTGTATGTGGCCCAGTTTTCAGCTTACTTGTTTGTGTTTTTGTCCCTTGCAGCCATGGAGGGCCACGGCGAGTGTGAGATCAAGGTGCAGCTGAACTGCAGCCACTGCCAGACGCAGAGCTGCAAACGGGACGAAGAGTCTCACCTCGTCCTCTGTCTGTGTGACGACGACGAGTTCCTGGCCGGTGACAACGTGACGTGTCTCAGCTCGGGATGTGCGTTTCTCACAAAAGCTTTTTTTTTTTCTTCAAAGGTCAAGAAAAGCAACATTTCTCACCTGCTAAATGATCGTCTCTGTTCGCCTACAGCCCCGCCCAACCCGGCCCCCCACAGTCAGCTGTCCACCTCCCTGATCCTGGCCGTCGTGGTCTCCATCATCGCCAGCGGCGTGGCCCTGATCTGTGCCGGCGTCGTCCTCAGTAAGAGACTCYTCCAGTTGTGTGCGCAGTCCGTGCCCTCCGCCTTCCAGAGGCTGTGAGCGCGCCCGGATGCGTGCGTTCTTCTAAATGTTCCTAACAACCGAAACCCGACTGACTCTCCACGAGRGCCTCGGTGCCGTTTCCTGGCCGCGGCGCCGCAGTTAAAGGAATAAAGGTTGCAGCTCTAAATTACAAGCTGCTGCAGTGTGATCAGGTTTATTACAGCARGCTCTTTCCTTCAGCTGTGTGTATACAGACTAAACTGGTTCAGAGCAGGTCTGATAGGATCAAACTGCAGGTGAAATGATGGAGGTGATTATTAAAACGTGCTTTATGAGCCTCATTCAGTGGCTCTTTTCATAAAGCATGGCTTGGTTGAGGTAAACACTTTATATGACAAAAATAATCAAAAACTATAAAAAACACAAGCAGAAAGCTTTGACATTTGACTACAAAGTATTATCTTCGAACAACTAATGAGTGGAATTAGATGGCAGTAAAATGTCAGCCATTATGATTCAGTGACTTAAAACGAGCGTGACACAAAGATGACGATGTAATGTAGGAAAAAAATATAAATAAATCTTTAGGGATTTGTAGTGGAGAAAAGTTGCTTCTGAACAGAAATGATTCTGCGGRGTTGCAGCTCGCCGGTATTTGCACGTTATAATTTCATGTTGAGCAGAGTGGGAACGAAGAAATTGAGGAATTTTCTCTGATGGTTGTGAAAAGCAATAGAAAGTACTAACAGGGACAGAGATTTTTATATTTTTGGCTGAAGACGGGAGACTAAATTCAAATTTRCTGCACTCCTGGAGACTCCAAGTACACAACAAAATGCATTTAACGGCTAAAAAGTTGGACTTTGCTTGATATGTCACCTTCAGATGAACTTAATTAGGTATTAAAGAAACGTTGGAGAAGCATCTGACGTCCTGTCTGTAAACACAGTCAAACAAAAATGATTTCAGCTCCAATATTAACCATTCAAAATGAAAAGTAACATTTGAACGTGTGACAGTATTTCAATTATTTGGAAACACTGAAAATAAAAACATTTTTACTGTTCTTTTAATTACAAACCATAGCAAATAATGTTATCATTCTTGTAAAATCATTTTAGCCAGTTTTAATGTGACTTTTCATCCTATTTATCAACCATAGACAAGAAATGATCCTACAGTTAAATCAATCAACTTTATTTGTACCCGCAGGTAAATTTGATTACAGTGAAAATGAGTCACCACACACACACACACACACACACACACACACACACACACACACACACACACCAAAGATAATATTATTCTTTGTTGATTTATGTTTAATAATTGTGCCTTAAATCGTATTAGAAGATTATATTGTTTTATGCAAGTTTGTGGACCACTTTAATGTTTTTATTGTTGATGAAAAAAGGTCAGACAGACTCTATATTGTAAATAGAGACATTTAATTTTCTGGTTGGAGCTTATTAATATCAAATAATGTTTGGTTTTTCAAATATCTTTTTGCCGTGGCAGGAAATAATAAAGCAGAATTTTTTTTCATCAACAGTTTGAAACTATTTTGAATTTTTTTTTTAGATCAACACAGTCAAAGTTGTACATTTAGGGTCATCTTTGTACAGAGATCTCATTTAATGAAGCATATGAGGGTAATAACTGTTTATATTATACATTATTGTTTATCAGAAATGGTAATGTTCCAGGTTCTCAGGTTTGTACTTTAAGAAGGTAATTTTAACTTTCATTATTTCTCCACACCATGATAGCACCACCGCTCTGCTCCACTGCCRGACTTTAGAGGCTTTTCTCTTTTATTGGTTGTTGTGGTTTTTAATWATTGGCTGTTTAAAATAAAAAGGCATATTTTCACGCTCACACACCCTTCAGCTTAATGGTGTCTCTTCACCTGAGCTCTCCCCCATGCAGGGAGGTAGTCTGTGCCCTGGGCGACCCCCCATCCCCACRTTCTCCTCCACCCCCACCCCCTTTTTCTTTTCCTTACCCATTACATTCCCCCACCCCTCCTCCTCCTAACYTCCCCAGCATCTGCAGCGGGCGATGGCTTGACGGCACCTCCTCCCTGCTCGCCACCCCACCCCCTCCCTGGCAGACTACCAACCTGCATCGGGGACGTGGGCTGCCTCCTTGGCGGGTGAGTCCAAACTCACTGGCACAGGGTAGTTCAGGAGGAGGAACCGAGGAGGGGCCATCCCACAAGAAACGTGTTTTTGAAAAGAGAGCTACAGTTTTTCAGATTGTTTCAATTTAAAGTTAAACTGGTTGTAGGTTCTTGTGGTTTGACCTCCTCCTTGTGTTAGCTTGCAGTGGTGGGCACAGCTCCGCTAACCCGCTAACAGCCCAACTAGCTTCTTGTTTAGCGGATTAGCTCTTTTGCTGACTTCGGAAACCATCAGTGGACCAATTAGGTTCCCCTATTTATAAGACAACTAGACAATAATCAAGTGCAAATGTCTATTTTTACGCCATTTATATGGCAATGTTTGTGTAGCACGTAGCATCTTCAGCAGCCCAACTTCAAACTAAGAAAATCAATAGGAAATTGAAAAACTTTTAGCGGTTTTTTTAAATAAATACAAAAACTGACTGTGTAAAAGTAGTTGTCATTTCAAACTGTATAAAGATACAAAACTCAAAGAAATCATTTTATTCTGAAAGGAGTACACTGGAAGTATCACAAATAGACAAAGCTATYACTGGTTTGGATTGGCTGACTTGCCACAGATGATCCCGCCCACTTTCAAATTAAACCAATAGAAAACTAACAAAAGGTTTGGTCCCACCAGTTTTCAACTGGAAGTAGGTGTCAGTCGTCTTAGCGGTTATCGTTAGCCTCCGCTAATTTTTTTGTTGTTTAACGTTAGTGGAGCTAAGGTTCTTTTTTAGTGGATTAGTGGTTAGTGAAGCTAACATGTTGGTTAGCTGTGCCCACCACTGACAGTTTGCCTGCAGGTGTGTGATCCTTATATTCGAGGCTCGTGTCTTTCCTAAAGTCCACTAAAGGAAAACTGGTCTTTTTTTTTTGTTCTGTTATAATTTCTGTCTGTAGCGTGGTACCGCAGCAAGAATGACCTGCACGCCGTGAGGGGCCGTCTGCAGAGTCCAGAGTACAAGCTTAGCAAGATCCGCTCCTCCACCATCATGACCGACTACAACCCCAACTACTGCTTCGCCGGCAAGGCCGCGTCGCTCAGCGACCTGAAGGAAGTTCCCCGCAAGAACATCACCCTCCTCAGGTACTGCTTGGTCCACGAGGACTCGGAGTCAGAATGTCRCAGCTCCATGTTCAGTTCTGTTAAAACGTGTTTTCACCTCTTGTTGCGTTAGTGCTCTTGGCCACGGAGCGTTTGGTGAAGTCTACAAAGGACAAGTTTTGGGGATGAGTGCTGATGGAAGCTCCACGCAGGTGGCCATAAAGGTCAGTTCACTCTCTGCAGGACGCATGAGAACAGGTTGCACTGACATATAATCCACTTCACAAGCAGGTATGCTCTTACTTATCCTCGTTCAGGTTTAAAAACTGTTCCTSTTTCCTGGGATAAAAACCAGGCAGCTGAACAAAAGAGAAAAATCCCATATATGCCCTCGCATATCAACACAGACTGAGGAAAAATCAGCACTCTGCAGCGCGCTGCCTGCTTTTCAACCCACTGTTGATTAACTCCATCCAGTGATGTCGTTACCTTTGACAGAYGCTCACCATTCAAACTGCTTCAGCCTGATTCTTTCTGCTTCACAGACTCTTCCAGAAATCTGCTCGGAACAAGACGAAATGGATTTCCTAATGGAGGCGCTGATTATGAGGTGCAGCAGACGGCGCACTTACACTTAGACCGTGGCTGCTGTGCCATTTCCTTCCTCAGGGAGTCAWCCAGTGCATTTTTATTTTATAAGTCACTTTCTAGAGCTGTTAAGAAAACTGGGTCATGCAGTGCACAGGTTCTTAAGAGACTTTTCAGGTAAATACTACACCAAATCAAGGTATATTTTATATCTATGGATGGATGGTTTCAATTCATGAGAATGTTTTTTTTTTTTCAATTTAGAGTCTGTCATCCAATCAAAAGCTGAATTCAGCATCAAAKACGGGTTTAACTGGAGTTTGTTTTACTCTCGACTGGATATGTTGACGTGAAACCACTAKAGAATCTTTTATCAACATTTTAGAACATTTTATAAACATAGAACATTTTATCGTTCTGTCAAATGATCAAAAGTGCAGCTATTGTTATAACTTAAGACAGATTTTTGAAGTCAATAAATTATTTTTACATGTTCACAATAATTTTACTGTTACTTTATCTTTTAACTTCCCACTCAAGTCAATCCAACCACGTACAGTTTTGACAAACTCCGCCCACAAAGCCAAGAGACTCCCCCTATGAACTGCAGAGACCCTTCACACATACAGCACTGCTTGTAGGAGGGGGTAGTTTTTATTTAATTCAGGATAAATGGCATCAAAGTAGAAGCTTTTACATTTTTAGTGAACTTAAAATTAGCGGAAGCTAATCAGCCGGTTTCCAAAGTTAGCAAAAAATGCTTATTGGCTAACTGAGCAGTTTGTTCTCCTGTTAGCGGGCTAGCGGAGCTGTGCCCACCACTGATTCTTCGCCTTTTGTTCCTGCAGCAAGTTCAGCCACGAGAACATCGTCCGCTGCGTCGGCGTCAGCCTGAACATCCTGCCTCGCTTCATCTTACTGGAGCTGATGACCGGAGGAGACATGAAAACCTTCCTGAGACAGAACAGACCGAGAGCGGTACGTCCACGCCGCCGCTGCCGCCTCGTCGTGTTGTTGTGATTTGTTACTGATTGGAGCTGTGCCGTGAGCAGGGCCAGACCTCCACGCTCACCATGCTGGAGCTGCTGCAGATGGCCCGAGACATCGCCTGTGGCTGCAGATACCTGGAGGAGAACCAGTTCATCCACAGGTGCCCTTTAAATCTGTTTGAGTGACGGAGGYAAAAAACTGAGCTCCGGCTCCACAAAGTGGGCCGTGTCATCACGGGCCGGGCTGTGATCTGTGCAGAGTGCTGCGTCTAAAAGGGTTCATCAGATCTTCTGTCACCTTGGCTGCAAGAAATACACTTCCCACTGGGATCAAATGAAAAATAACATCTACATTTTTTTTTATTTAAACTTTATAAAGTTGTAAAAATCTGTTGTTGTTTTTTTTAAACACTTTAACATTCAGACTTTATTTTCTGTCTTGGCATACAGGTGCAATTGCTCCAGTTTTCAATTAAATGAAAGATTTTAAAAGATTAATGTTGTTTTGAAGATGCTTCCAAACAAGTGTTCTGTTATTTTAGAGACATTGCTGCCAGAAACTGCCTGCTGACCTGCTCCGGAGCAGACAGAGTGGCTAAGATCGGGGACTTTGGCATGGCTCGAGACATTTACAGGTTTGTTTGGTGATGATCACGGTACATTTATGTGTTATAGAAATAGATAAATAGTAATCTCTTTGCTTTTTTTCTAAGGAGACAAACTTTAAATGTTCTGAAAGAATCAATGACCTCACTGAACACGAAGGAGCTGATTTATTGAAAATCCAAATAACGCGCACTAAATTGCTGCGCCACCAGTAGGTGTGCTGATCTAAGACTGCGTGTGCAAATGATAACAGGTGGTGCAGACCGCCCTGTTGAAATGAAGAGTTTGTGTATGGATGTCACTACGGAGACAAATGGTGAAAACGTTTTCCACAGGACAGGCAGCCACTCTTTCTGGCCTTGACCACAAAATAATTTAATGTTTTATTGTGAATGCTTTAAATACTTCACATTGAATTAATTTTTTTTTCTGTACATTTTTCAGCACGTCTTTTGTTGCAGTTTTTGTGCTATTTGATCAACTTGTAAATGAAAATGTTCAGTTCCTTCAGGACAGTCCAGCTATGACTGTTGGAATTTCAGCAATTTATACTTTTTGGGATATTTAGCTTTTTTGGCCAAGTTTTTCTAATTGGAACTGAATAGAGCCGTCTGCAACATCTTTAAAACCCTTCAAAATGTTTAGAGATATTTACTGCACTTTTCACCTTTTGTTCTGGTTCTGCTTTTTTCAAATTCTTTGCGCAATTTTTTCATTTTCATTCAGCTTCTATTTTACTGATTTTAGCATTTTTCTGCTAATTTAGCTGGTTTTCTGTCCTTTTCTGCTATTCTTTTGCTGATTTCCACTTTCTTGTGCTTCTTTCAGCTGTTCTGTGTTTTAGATTTTTTTAGCTAATTTGATCCTTTTTTAGCTATTCTGGGCTAGTTTTAGCTTTTTAGATATTCAGCAAAAATCTTTAAGCATTAAGCATTCATACTGCATTTTCACAGGAAATATACATTCTCTAGTTACTTTAGGTTTTGTTTTATTAACTTTTTAAGATGATGGATGGATGGATGGATGGATAGATGGTTGGTTGGTTGGATGGGTGGATGGATGGATGGATGGAT